CACTCACACAGCCCAGAGGAGCCCCAGGCTGGCTCCCACTCCCCTTCCTCCCCCCCGCAGCCCAACTGAGCCATGTTCTGGCTCCCTCCCCACTCCCCTCACAACCCAACCGAGCCAGGTGCCGGCTCCTGGTCCCCACCCTCCTGCAGCACGCCAGGACTCTCTGATCTTGGAACATCCGTGGTCATGCTGGGCCAGAGAATCCCGGATTGTAGAGGTGCAATCTGTACTCCCCTCTTAGTAAGTTGTGTCCACCCCACTGCGCTCTACTGGATAGAATCAGAACTTTTCCAGTGCATGTCTCTGGCCATGTACAGCTGATGGGGGTTCTGTGGGCCCGGGCCCTGGGAAGGTGAGGTCTGAGTACCTCCTCGGGGACAGTGACGTTCCCCGTGACCACAGTGTGCAGCCACAATGACACCAGTGAGTTGCTGTCAACCACGAGGGCAGCACAGCTGTCCCGGAGGCAGAGCCTGTAAAATGAACAGGCCCAGAGGGGGTGTGGATTGTAGCATTGGGGAAGGTTGGTTCTTGTGGTCCCTGCACTCAGCTCTCACTGGGCATGGCATGTGGGCATGGGCGGGCGAGGCAGGCCTCTGGCCTGGTTGGTAAAAGTGATGGAGATAAATCCCACAAGGGCTTGAGTGCAGGTCAGGTTGCACCTCCACAGGTACAGGCAATCGCAGCTCCCATTGGCCAGGAATGGCCATCTGCGGCCAACGGGAGCTGTGATCCCCCATACCTTCGGAGACGGAGTAAATATGGTGGTGTGGGAGCCAGCCAGGAGCTAACCCTAGCAGATCAGATCTGATCCATGAGCTGGTATTTGCCCATCCCTGACCTAGAGGGAGGTACTGTAAGGTGGATGCATAATTGGCTGGTTAACTGTTCCCAGAGAGTAGCTATCAATAGTGCATAGTCATGCCGGGAGGGCAGGCTGAGAGGAGTTGCAAGTGCTTTGGAGGACAGGATTAGAATTCAGCATAACCTGGACACAGTGGAGAAATGGTTTGAGGTAAACAGGGTGAAGTTTAATTAGGACAAATGCAAAATACTCCGCTTAGGAAGGAACAATCAGTTTCACACATACAGAATGGGAAGCGACTATCTAGGAAGGATACTGCAGAAAGGGATCTAGGGGTCATAGTGGACCACAAGCTAAATACGAGTCAATAGTGTGACACTGTTGATCCAAAAAAAAAAAAGCAAACATCATCCTGGGATGTATTAATAGGAGCGTTGGGAGCAGGACAGGAGAAGTCATTCTTCTGTTCTACTCTGCACTGATTAGGCCTAAAAGAACTGGGTTTGTTAGTCTGGAAAAGAAAAGACTGAGGGTATGTCTACACTACAAAGTTAGTTCGAACTAACGGACGTTAGTTCGAACTAACTTTAATAGGTGCTACACTAGCGCTCCGCTAGTTCGAATTTGAATCGAACTAGCGGAGCGCTTAGTTCGAACTAGGTAAACCTCATTTTACGAGGACTAACGCCTAGTTCGAACTAGCTAGTTCGAACTAAGGGCTGTGTAGCCCTTTAGTTCGAACTAGGGGGAGGCTAAGGCTTCCCAGGTTTCCCTGGTGGCCACTCTGGCCAACACCAGGGAAACTCTATGCCCCCCTCCCGGCCCCGGACCCCTTAAAGGGGCACGGGCTGGCTACGGTGCCCGTGCCAGGTGCAAGCCTGCCAGCACCCAGCTAGCAGACCCTGCACCTGGCACGGCACAGAGCCACCCACCCGATGCCCCCCAGCCCACCCCCTCTTGCCGGGACCAGGCTGGCGGCCCTCTCCCCAGGCCCAGGCTGGCGGCTCCCGGGAGCTTGCCCAGGACCGCAAGAAGTGGGCACCTTCCTGGGCTAGTGCAGACATAATGGACCTTGTCCACGATCTCTGCACTAGGCACAGGAAAGTGGCCGTCTAGGGCAGGAGAGCTGCCAGCCTGGCCACCCAGGACCAGGTGTGCATGAAAATCAAGGGGGTCCACTGAGACCCCCGACACTGAGCCCTGAGCTTACAATGGCCGTACTGGGTCAGACCAAAGGTCCATCTAGCCCAGTAGCCTGTCTGCCAACAGCGGCCAACCCTAGGGACCCTGGAGGGGATGGACCGAAGACAGTGATCAAGCCATTTGTCTCGTGCCATCCCTCTCCAGCCTTCCACAAACTTTGGGCAGGGACACCACTCCTACCCTCTGGCTAATAGGACTCCATGGACCCAACCTCCATGACTTGATCTCACTTCCCTTTAAACTCTGTTCTAGTTGTAGCCTTCACAGCCTCCTGCAGCAAGGAGTTCCACAGGTTAACTATTTGCTTTGTCAAGAACAACTTTCTCTTACTAGTTTCAAGCCTGCTACCCATTCCTTTCCTTTGGTGTCCTCTAGTCCTTCTTTATGGGAACTCATGAAGAACTTTTCTGAATGCACCCTCTCCACCCAACCCCTGCTTTTAGAGACCTCTATCCTGTCCCCCCTCCGTCTCCTCTTTTCTAAGCTGAACAGTCCCAGTCTCTGTAGCCTCTCTTCATCTGGGACCTGTTCCCAACCCCTGATCATGTTAGTTGCCCTCCCCTCTCCCAGCCTTTCTCTTCCCCTCTCCCACCTCCTTTTCCCAGTCTCCCCCAGTTTTTTTCAATAAAGACAGAGTCAATGTTGGAAGAAACGTTATCTTTATTTTGTACATCAATAAGAAGGGGGGCTAGGGAAGGGTAAGTGGAAGGAGGTGAGGGAGGAATGGGGTACGAGCCCCCGATGGGGAGGACTGGGCTGGCTCTGCGGGCTTCTGGGGGTGGAAGCTCTCCTGCAGCCCCCCAATTACTCCCTCTCCCCAGATGGCAGCCTGCGGCAAGTGCAGCCGGGCTGATGGCCGAGTGGTGTGATGTGCCCAGTGTGGGCACTCAGGGCACTCCAAGCCAGAACTTCTTTGCAAGCGGGGCACCCCTTAGAACTGTGTGTCCGGGGTGGGGGTCGGGACCCTTTAAGCGCAGCCCTCGGCTAGCCTGAGACAGTATCTCCATGCTCTAAGTCCTCCTTTTATGCCCTGCCGGCACTGCTTCCGGCCATCCTTAAGCCCTGTTCAGAGTCCACTCAATGTGGACTTACTAGTTCGAACTAGCAAAACGCTAGTTCGAACTAGTTTTTAGTTCTAGATGCGTTAGTTCGAACTAGCTTAGTTCGAATTAACTAATTCGAACTAAGTTAGTTCGAACTAGCGCTGTAGTGTAGACGTACCCTGAGAGAGGACATAACAAATTTCAAGTATCTAAAAGGGTGTGACAAGGAAGAGGGAGAGAAATTGTTCTCCTTGGCCTCTGATGACAGGACAAGAAGCAATGGGCTTAAATTTCAACATGGGAGGTTCAGTCTGGTTACATACTGGAATCCATTGCCTAGGGAGGGTGTAGAATCTCCATCACCGGAGATATTTCCGAGCAGGTTAGACGAACACCTTCCAGGTATAGTCTAGACCAGGAGTGGGGAACCTAAGGGCCAGGGGGTGGATGCAGTCCTCGGCTTGCCTGGATTTGGCCCTCAAGGCTTCGCGCCCCCTCCCCCCCCAGCATTAGGGAACCTGCTGTTCCCCTGGGGGTCTGGAGCGCACAAAATCTACCATCCTGCCCCCTTTAGGCTCTGAGTGTGCGAGGGGAATGTGGGGACTCTCTTTCTGCTTCTTAGTTGGGGACTCAGTTGGGATTTTTTCCTTTTGCTTCTCACTCGTGTGCACCCCTCCCCCCGATTTTTCTGTGGGTCAGTGGCCCCCGACCAAAAAAAGGTTCCCTCCTCTGCTGTAGACAGTGCTTGGTCCTGCCGTGAGGGCAGGGGACTGGACTTCATGACCTCTCCAGGTTCCTTCCCGTTCTAGAGTTCTGTGATTCTACAAAGTCTGCAAAACTGAGTTTGGCCCATGGAGCAGCCTCTGATGTTTTCACGGGCAGCCGTCCTGACCCCCAGAACTAACACTGAGTGAATGGGGCTGACGGGGGGGAGCAGCTCAAACACGCAAAGGGGCTGGCCGGGGGCAGGACACTTGGCCATGCAGGGCAGAGGTGGGTGTGGCAGTGACATCACAATGCCCTTTGCAGCGCTTCAGCTTATTGGTTAAAGGAGGTTGGGAGGCGGTGACCTCACAGAGAGTCTATGACAACGGCCGGGTGGGACAGGCTGGAGGGCAGGGGGCAATGTCAGAGACCCCGATGGCTTTGCCGCTGGCAGTCTCCTTCTTGAGGGCTCCCCTTGAGGACCGAGAGAGAATTCAGGGTCACCTACGTGAACACGTTGGAGTTTTGTCCTGTGCCATCACTAGAAGACAGACGTCCCTGTGGAGAAGGTAAGAGCCTCCAAGAGGCTTGGTACCTCTGCAGCCTGAGCCACATGGTACTGGCCACATTCAGGGCACGGAAAGCACTAAGTTAAGCTTGGAAATCCCCCCCCCCATCTCCACCCTTTGTCCCTTATAGTCACTGGGGACACTGCAGTCCATCACTCACAGGCGTCTCGGTGCTGATTGGCTGAGCTGGGGGGTCTAGTGACAGGAAGGAGACTCTGGACTTGGTTTTTCTCGTTTAAGACCCAGCAATTAAGCCAGATCCAATCAGCTGCTTGGGGAACGCTGCTGCTTCTCGCCCTTGCTTGTCTCGGAGCAGCTCCTGAGTCTCTCTCGGGTTCTAGGGCTTCCAAAACACTGGCTGAATACCCACTAGGGACGGTTGCTGGAGCTCACCTGAGCTGCCTTTACTCTGAGCAGTCAATAGGTGAAACTCCAGACTGATGGTTCGTTAGAAAGTCCCGACTCCTGGGTCCTGTTCCCAGCTCTGCCCCTGCTGCCTGTGTGACCTAAGGCAAGTCCCTGCACCTTAGTTTCCCCGTCAGTTAGGAGAACAACCCTCTCCTACTTGAGTCACGGCGGGGGGCAGTTGGGGAGCTGGGAGGGTCCGTGTGAGAGTGTCACTAGCTGTAGTGTGTGATCAGAGGTGTCCTATCACGTGGAATCATTATGGATTCAGACATCGTGCAGCAAAACTCTGTTTTCCCAAGCTTCCATTGTGCAGTTTCCACGTTAACCAAAAGAACAGAGCACACAGGTCCAGAATCCAGAGATTTCTCCTATGGCCACTAGATGGCGCTGCAGCCTCACACATTCCCATTCCCTGGATTATCCGAATTTTTGATTACCTGGCCATGGTCCCATGGAAAATGGGCTTCTGCCAGATAGTAGCTGAAATATTCTACTTTATGGGCATTTTCGTATTTTAAATTATTAAATGGAGCAACTAATTAGCCCGGATTGAAGCATCTTATCTCGTTTCCAGATCCAAGTGTCTCCTCTTTGTGTGCCATGAGACAATGTAACCGTATGTGACAAACAGAGGATGCTTTTGTTTTGTAAGAAAATATTTTTGCAAAAAAATTCCATAGCACCACAGAAGATTAGGGTTGGCAAGAACCTCAGGAGGTCATCTAGTCCCGCCCCAGCTCAAAGCAGGATCAGCCCCAACTAAATCAAGCCTGGCCTTAAAAATGTCTAGAGATGGAGATTCCACCCCTCCCACACAACCCATCCCAGTGCTTCCCCATCCTCCTAGGGAAATAGTTTTTCCTAATATCCAACCTAGATTTCTCCCATTGCAACCTGAGACCATTGCTCCTTGTTCTGCCATCTGTCACTACTGAGAACAGCCTCTCTCCAGCCTCTTTGGAACGCCCCTTCAGGTAGTTGAAGGCTGCTCTCAAATCCCCCCTCACTCTTCTCTTCTGCAGACTAAACAAGCCCAAATCCCTCAGCCTCTCCTCATAGGTCATGTGCCCCATCTCCCTCATCATTTTTGTTACCCTCTGCTGGACTCTTTCCAATGTGCCCACTTCCTTTTCTGTTGTGGTGGGGGGCAGGCTGAAAAACGACTCCTTCGAACAGAGGTTCCCAACCTGTGGTTCGTGGGCCCCTGGGGTTCTGCAAGGGCACTGCAGGGGGTCCATGGACACTTTTTAAAAGCAAGGCTTGGGCCCACCAGAGCACGTGGGGAGAGGCAGCAGCCGTGCGTGCTGGGACATGGCTTGCTTTTAATCCTGTTCTCCAGAAGCTAAGGGAGCATGGGGCATGCCACACATGCCTCTTTCCCCTCGCTCCCTTAGCGTCCGGGAAACAGGATCACAAGCAAGCCATGACCTGGAGCGCACGGCTGCAGCCCTCCTGCCCTCCTCAAACCTAGTTTAAAGCCCTCCTGCCTATGTTAGCCAGTCTGTATGCAAAGGAGTCAGTATCCAGTCTGTCAATCACACTGTTTCTATGCCTGTCTGCCTGCCCTGCATCCTCTGGAGCCATAGAGTAACTGACGAATGAGCGAGGAGGACCAGCTCCTCGGTTGGTGTGAATGGGTGAAGTTTCATTGAAGTCAGTGGCACCTTGGGGGCCAACCCCAGCTGTGAATCGGACCCTGTGTTTTGCAGCAGGGCTGCATGTATCGCGTACAGGGCTTCCTCGAATGAAAATCTGAGCAGAAAATCTCCGTGATGCCCCAATAAACCGCTGTGTCTCCTGCTTCCTGTTGTGCAGGGGGAACCGGGCTATGTGCTGGGAGGAGTGGAAGTGATTCCTGGCCGAAACGGACAACCTGGCTCTCCGGTGAGTATAACCCACCTCCCATTTACTGCTGGTGTCTCCACATGGTGTGTGCTCACCACAGATCTCAAACAAGGCCTTTTGTAATAGCTGTAGTCTAATAGCGGCCACAGGGACTCGGGTAGGATCAGGGCCCCGTTGTGCTCATACCTGTACTTGCCTGTATGGCACAGGGCAGAGCCCATTAGGATCAAAATGGGGAAAATTGCTGCATGGAGTAGGGCTATAGGTGACTAGTCGACTTTTGCTTATCGGATAGTTGACTAGTCTCTCAACTAGTTGCTTCCCCCCCTTAAAAGCCGGTTTCCACCAGCACCATCTCCACAGGGGAGCAGGGGAGACGGGAGTAGCAGGGATCGGGCACAAGCCAGGAATCAGCCCAGTTCCAGATGCTGAATCTTTGCTGGCTCTTAATACATTTAAAAATCAGAAGCGCAGCGGGGGGACGGGACCTGGCACAAGCCAAGGATCAGCTATCCCAGCTCACGCCAGGTCCACCCTGCTATGCACCAGCCTTTGAAATGTATTAAGAGCCGACAGGTGGGCTCACATCCCACCCACCTACCTAGGAGGGATGAGACAGGACAACCAACAGCCAGGCCGCCCCAGTGGAAGGCGGGATAAGGGACGCCCTGAAGGTAAGTTGGTAGAGTGGGGCTGTCTGGGGCCGGGAGCCAACCCCACTGTGACTCCCCCACTTATTGACCAATCCACTAGTTGATGGAAAATCCCTTGACTAGCTGATTAACTAAATTTAACCTCCCTAGCATGGAGACAGAAGATTATGGACCTGGCCCCATGTTGCATTAAGCCCCTGCTAGGGGTCTATGTAAGATTAGGGTTGTTAACCCCCAAATCCTGATGGACCACTGCTTTCTGGCTCCTTTGTCATTTCACCAAGATCCTTCCTCACGGCCTGGCCTGGGCTGCTGGCGGTGTTATTGCCTGCGCTTAGCCAGCTGCTGCCTTTCACCCCAGAGGTGGCAGCATTTCAGTGCTGGGTGCATGGATCTCAATATGTATGTTCTAAATCCTCTTACACCCTCTCAGCATTTCCTGCAGTGTCCTCATCCCCTCTTTCCTCTGCAGCCATCCTTTGTCCTCCTGAGAGCCAGGTTTGGGTGTCTCACTGTCAGTGTCTCTCCATGCCGCTCAGTGATTGGCCCGCGAGGTCCCCACTGAGGGACCTGGGACACTCACCCTAGGTCCATCCGCTGCTCTGGGTACAGCCTGTGTCTCTCAAATGTCTGGCTTGAATCATTTCAGGGGCAGAAAGGGCAGCCGGGAGTTCCCGGAGCAACAGGACCGCCCGGGCCACAGGGACCACCTGGGATGTCTGTGAAGGTGCGTGCGACTGGGAGGAAGCCATTCGCCTGCTTTGCTCTGCCATGGACACCTGGGGACATGTGCTCAATGAAGGGGAATTAGCCATGTGGCTCTTGTCAAGGCAGGGGGAATCCACCCAGCGAGGGAGCAGGCAAAGTGACCCTATGCCATTGACGCCGATGGGGCTTTCCTGGTGACATCTGTGAGTGCAGGATCCGGCCCCTCCCTATAGCTTGACCTCTTATCACTAGACACTGGGGTCCAGCCGCAGTCTCAGGGGATGTAGGGGGCCAGTTTGAACGCAGCCTGGGCAGGAGCGAGTGCACGTTGTTACCATCTGGGCATGGTTGAGGTGAAATATTTAAGCCTGGTTTCCATCTGTGCAGCATAGTTTTAGGAGTGGCCTCCCTGCGCAGTCACCCCCGTGGAGAGTGTTAGTAGAGGCAGAGTAGGTGGAGTAGGGCTTGAACTCCCCTCTTGCCCCCCGACATGGTCCCCAAGTTGGCTCTCCAGGGTTGAGGCCTCTGGGCTGTGCAATACAGTGGAAGCTCAAATTGGGGGGGGGGGAGGTCAAAGATATTCGGCCTATGGGACTGTCGGACCCATTGATAAATTCACAGAAGGAAACAAAAAATCCAACCCTGACGCTTGCTTTGAAACGGCAGCAGAGCACAAGCCAAGAGGTGAATCCTGCAGCATCTTGCTTGGGGGCAAACATGGGAGGTAGCTCCCTTCACTCACATTGGGGGCAGGATGATTCCTGGGGGAGGGGGGCAGACTCCAGCCCAGATTGTGCGAGTCTACGAGAGGAGGCACCAGCAGAAAGGTGAGGAAGAAGAAGGAAACGAGAGTGCCCCTGTCTTGTTTTGAGACTGTGATGTTCCCTGTCCTCTGTTACAGGGTGAGCATGGAGACGCAGGCCGGAGAGTAAGTAGCTGAGATTTACTCCCGGTTTCATTCCCTCTGTCTATCAGACCTGAGGAAGATCTGTATATGGCTTGAGAGCTTCTCTTTCTCCATTAGAGGGTGGTCCTATAAAAGACGTCCCCTCAGCCACCTCGTCCCTCTCTAGTTTCCTACGACTAGAGACCTACCAAACTCGGAGTCCATTTGGGACAATTTCATGTCCATAGTAAATGTCAGGATTTTGTCCATTTCATTCTGAAATCTCACCGTGGGGCGCCCACTGACCTCTGCCTTGCTGCCTGCAGAGCTGGGCCCTCGATCAGCAGCCGCTGCTCTCTAGCCACCCAGCTCTGAAAGCAGCTGCGCAGAAGTAAAGGTGGCAACACCACAGTCCCCCCACTAAAATAATCCGGCAACCTCCCAGCAGCTCCCTTTTAGGTCAGGACTCCCAGTTTGAGAAACTCTGGTCTCCCCTGTGAAATTAGCATGGTATCGGATAAAAGCACATTAAAAGGCCAGATGTCACAGTGCACGATACGTTCTCCAGAGCCATGAGTTTGGTAGGGCTCTACCTAGGACCATCACTGTCCACAATAACACAATAAATCGGGTATGATTCTCCCCTGCGCTTCTGCTTTCCGCTGCAACTTGTGCCCTGGGGAGGCCTTCGAGGGTCTCCAAGGTGCCATTGTCTCCGGAAGGTTCTTTAATGCCTGGGAATCACTGGATACAGGATTAATACTGTGGGTTGTCTGGAAACGTGCATTGTTCTAGGCAGTGCGAACGTCTCTCATGTGTTTCACAGGGGCCTCGAGGGAAAAGCGGCGCCAAGGGTGACAAAGGAGATGCAGGAGAGGCTGTGAGTACACACCGGTGGTGAATTTTTACCGATAGTCACGTTGGGCCAGGCAGTGTCTGTCAGACGCAGGCCGTTGCTAGGGCAGGGTGGAGCACAATGCATCCTGTCACAAAAGCATTGTCCACCGGATCTACACCCCTGTTTGCTGGGTAGCCACGGGTCACATGCCCTCCATGTACACACCAGATAGCATAGATACTAAGAGAGTCACAGGGGAGAAGGCTGGGAACACATGAAGACAAAGGTTACGGTTAGTTATTTTCTTTCTTTCTTTTTTGTAAGGGAGGTAGAATTAAGGGAAGGGCAGTTTGAGTGAGCTGGAGAAATGTGCCAAGCTTGCTAGCCTGCAGTTAGACAACGGGAATACTGTGTCCAGTTCTGGGCACCGCGTTTCAAGAAAGATGTGGAGAAATTGGAGAGGGTCCAGAGAAGCGTAACAAAAATGATTAAAGGCCTAGAAAACATGAGTTATGAGGGAAGACTGAAAGAACTGGAATTGTTTAGTTTAGAAAAGAGAAGACTGAGAGGGGACATGATAGCTGTTTTCAAGTACCTAAAAGGGTGTTACAAAGAGGAGTGAGGAGAATTGTTCTCCTTGGCCTCTGAGGACAGGACAAGAAGCACTGGGCTTAAACTGCAGCAAGGGAGGTTTAGGTTGGACATTAGGAAAAACTTCCTAACTGTCAGGGTGCTTAACCGCTGGAATAAGTTGCCCAGGGAGGTTGTGGAATCTCAAACACTGGAGATATTTAAGAGCAGGTTAGACAAACATCTATCAGGGATGGTCTAGACGGTGCTTGGCCCTGCCATGAGGGCAGGGGACTGGACTTGATGCCCTCTCGAGGTCCCTTCCTGTTCTAGTATCTATGATTCTATGAATTTCTGGGTTGACTGTGGCTTGGAAGCTGCAGTCAAAGCTGCCAGGGGCTAAGAGCTGTGCTCTGAGAGAGGCATCAGGAAGAGAGCTGCAGTTAGAACTGGCCAAGACAGAGGCCCAAAAACTGGAGACAGCGGAGAAAGCCAAGGAGCAAGGTGTCTCTGGGTAGCATCAAATCCCCCTTCTTGGAGGGCAGCAGCTTTCACTGGCGGAGACGCTGTATGAGCTATTTCTCAGCACACTGTGGGGGCCTTGCTTTTATCGTGTGGCTTGACACTAGCCCTAAATGCCTTGGGCGTGAAAGGCACGGCATTTACCCAGATTCTCCTCCTCCGTCACAGGGCAAACCTGGTCTGCCGGGGCCCCTCGGGCTGGATGGTGCTCCTGGAATCGCTGGACCCAGGGGAGAAAAGGTTATTACGCTTGC